GATAAATATGCGCAGATATCTGGGTCGGACTGTCCATTTTTGTGTGTTCTCTCCGCGGAGATGACGTCATGTTTTGTTGTGGACGTTGCGGTTAATACATCGTCGTCTGTGGCTTGCTTCTATTCTACTGCGCTGTTTTTACTTCGTCGTTTGTCGAGTATAAATAGAAATGATGTAAATGCACGTATGCGAACGTGTGTGTGTGTGTGTGTGTGTGTGTTATCGTTTCATTGTTGTCATCATCGTCACTCACCGCGACAGTTGCCGACCGAGACCAGCAATATCGCTCTTACAGTCATCGTCACTTTCATCATTACCATCATCATCACTATTAGCATCAACGTAATCATCATTGCCATCGTCATCAGCACAACATCATCATCATCATTATCATCTTGATCATTGTAAGTATTATATCGACGTTATTATCATCAGTTTCAACGTCATCGTCATCATCATCATCATCGTCTTCCTCAGTTTTAACGTCATCATCATCATCATCATTGTCAACATTACTATTTTTTATCATCATCACGCCATCATCATCATCGTCGTCCTATTGGTTCTTCTGTCTGCATGCTGGCTGCTTTTGTTTGCACTTTTAGTCATTGCATTCCCAAAAGTTTGTTTAGTTTTGTTTGATCCTGCTTTTTTAATGGAAGTATTCAATTACGAATTGCTGTTTAACGTTCGTTTAACTTTTATTTAACGTCCATTCATTTTTCGTTTGATATCCGTTTAATGTTTATTTTTGTTTTGTTTGTTTTTGTGGTCGTCATCGTCATTATCATCGTTATTATCACTTACCGAGATGTTTAATCAGTATCATTTGTTGTTATGATCAATTATTACTTTTGTTCTCGTCACAATCGTCACAGCATTCATTCCTAATGACGCTTGGATACATTACGTCCTCTTCTAATTAGCCTTATCATAAAGCTGCACAAGTACATACAAGGGTCTTTATGTAGATTTGTTTCTATTGTTATTTTGATCACTTGAAGAAAGTATCAAGGTGATGACCTAACTATGCAAGTATGGGTAAATATTATAAGTCCTATTTGTCGTGCCGATTCAGTTGTAATTTATTGATCAGTTTTGGGCTACAAAGCAAATCTAATCATCCTGTGTGTGTATGCGTGTGAGTGTGTGTGCGTGTGTGTGTGTGTGTGTGCGTGTGCGTGCGTGTGAGTGTGTGTGTTAGTTTGTTTTGTGTGTATGTTTATAAGTTTGTCTCGTTTTTCCATGTTATTTCATACATAAGTTAATAAATACTTAACGGTTGATCACTCAAAAAAAGATAAATTTTTTCTACAATCCCAATTTTTTGCGAAAATATTTGAAACGTCTGCATTATTGATTTTTTACGCGCTCTACGTGAGATGAAGTCTGCCACTTGTTCCATTTCTTCGTATAAGTCCTGAGACATTTTTCTAAAAGTTCATTTTTTAAAAAAATACCTAAATAAAGTGTTTAAATAAAAATTCAAATGACACTTATATGGAATAACATTGGCGTCAAATAACAGTTTTTAAATGTAAACCATACCATAACATTTCTCTTATACCATTGTTTAGTAAGAAACATTGAACATAGCTGGTGTTTGTAAGTGTTGATGTTATATTATTTTCTTCAATTCATCATTTCAGCTACATGTTCATTCTTCATACATCGTTTGTCAATCGGTGAATACTGTATAAAAAAATGTATGTTCTCTGTTGTTGTTGTTGATGACGATGTTGGTGAGGTTGGTTAATGTTGTTGTTGTTGTTGTTGTTGTTGTTGTTAAAGATATTGTTATAGCTGTTGTTGATGTGGTTGTTGTAGTTGTTAATGTTGGTGTGGTTGATATTGTTGTTGGTAGTGTTGTTGTTGCAGTTTTTCTCGAATGCCTGGTTTGAAATAAACTTTTTGATAACATTATAGCTGCAAACGAAAAATAGTGGGATTGTTACAATTACTGCCTTTTACTGCTCATTACTACAACTACCATTAACACTACTGCTGGCTTAACTATCGCACTAGATATTACGACTGTCATTGTCCAAACTAGTGGAATTAAATAATGGAACTTGTATGAATTACTACTACTAAAATGAAGCCACAGATAAACTAGTAATTACTAATTTTTGATTGCAAGAAAACCTTTACAACAACTTTTAGTACTACTACTACTACTACTACTACTACAGGCCGAGCAGTTACACCACACTACTACATTTTCCACATGAAGTAACAATTTCGTTAGTGACAAGTGGTTGCCTCGAGCTGGGAAGTGGATGCAGCTGTAAGCGTACAACTGCGCTTCACGTGCACTTCACGTACAATGTTCTTACACAGCCTGTTAACTACATCCACCCACACATCGCATGTGCGTTTACACACGTGTGCACACATCTCACACGCACTCGTCCATGTTTATTTCACGCACACCCTTCCTATACGACACCTTCATTGCACGTACACACGTCTATAAACATCACATTTGCAGGCTCAAGAAGTAGAGTCATCAATTGTGGAATGAAGTTTCTGTGTTGGCTACAACGTCCACCTGGCAGGGCTGGTCGTTAACATTTAATGTCTTGAACACATGCTAACACACACACACACAAGCAAGACTGATATTGAAGTTGAGATGGTGTTAATGGCGTTATTTTAATAACCTGGAAAACATTGTTCTACTTTAATTTATATTTGATAGTTTACATTTTTTTTGTTTAATTTAGTTTTATTTACTTGCGATGATTTGTTAATGTGTGTGGGTGTGTTTGTTTTTGTGTGTTAGCTACTAAAACAGCGCAAACTTTTCAAACATTTGGTTTTCTAAAATGTTTTTTCGTGAAAAGTTCTCTTTTAGAGTTTGTTGATTATTTTATCACTATTGCAGATTTTAGCGATATGTATCATTTCCCTCATCAGCCAGTATCATCATCATTCAATATCATCCTTTGATATCATCATCATACATATCATCATTCAATATCATTATAATTATCAACATATTTTTAATCACTACTTTATTCATCATCACACCTAACACCAATCTTAAAAAAGAATACTAATTTTTTTTAAGAGGGGACAAATCCCTAATAAATGTATGGATGGTGTAAAGAATGGTGATTAGCATCTATCAAAATTTCATTCAATCTTCATTACTCAACACACACACACATACGCACACAAACGCACGCACACACACACACACAAACACACACACAAACACACACACAAACACACACACAAACACACACACACGCACACACACGCACACAAAAAAACAAAAGACACCTGCACTGCATATTTTTCCAGACTGGCATAAAGCAACAAATAACGTCTAACAAGACAACAAATAAATCATTTTGTTGCATGTTGTTGTTTTTTAATTTAATTGCAAAATGCATCAGTTAGAATAATCTCTCTCTCTCTCTCTCTTTCTTTTCTTTCTCTCTTTCTCTCTCTTTCTATATATATATATATATATATATATTATAATAATTTTTATATAGCTATAAAAATGTAACGTAAATCAATTTATGAATATTTCAAGGTTGTCACATACAACTCAATCATTTATTAAAATCTCCATTTCGTTAACTCGGACAGACATGTTATAGAAAGAATTACTGAAGGAATGAATGAGTAGATGAGTGAATGAATAAATGAATGAGTGAATGATTGAATGAATGAACGAACGAACGAATGAATGAATGAATGAGTGATAGTGAGTGAGTGAGTGAGTGAGTGAGTGAGTGAGTGAGTGAGTGAGTGAGTGAGTGAGTGAGTGAGTGAGTGAGTGAGTGAGTGTGAGTGAGTGAGTGAGTGAGTGAGTGAGTGAGTGAGTGAGTGAGTGAGTGAGTGAGTGAGTGAATGAGTGGGTGAATTAATAAATTAATGAACGATTGAAAGTATAAATGAATCGTCTATACGTATACTTACATGCGTGTCCATATAATCATTCATCTTATTTGAGAACTTTTCATTCAAAATTATTTTCTCGTAACCATTTCCAATCTTCATCATCATCGTTAACTGACACCATCGCTTTTTTTTCAAACACTCAACTAACAATACGTTACCATCGCGTTAATACTCATTTCGTCTTCAAACATCATGTCAATGCTATCATCATCCTCCTCATTATCTTAATCAGTTTCAACCATCTGCATACAAAAAAACAAATAAACAATCTCTACATACAACAAACAAACAATCCCTACATATAATAAACAAACAAACAAGCAATCCCTACATACAATAAACAAACAAACAAACAAACAATTAAACAAACCAACAAACAACAACAACCCATACAATGTCAGTGCACATTTTTTTTTATATTTTCCTTATAAGCTGGCTGGTGCGTTACTAGTTAGTTCATAGCATCATAAATACGAAGTTGATGATATGTTGACGTCTTCACTCAAACACAGTTGTTATGTTTTCTTTACTCTATGAACTTTTGTTCGCTTGTTTCTATGGCTGTTCGTTCGTTCGTTTGTTCGTTCGTTCGTTTGTTCGTTTGTTCGTTTGTTCGTTTGTTTGTTTGTTTGTTTGTTTGCTTGCTTGCTTCTTCATCTACATAAAGACGGTTTTTAAATTGTTTCATTTGTTTTTTTTCTAAATGGTTATAACTTTCAGGAATACGTTTTCAGTGGCATTAGTCGATAATCTCTGGCTATCTTTAATCCTCTCTCTTTTTCTCTCCTTATCTCTCTTTCTCTACCTATCTCTTTTCTTTCCTATAAACTCCAACTTTTGTTTATTTTTCACTTCATTATCTTCATTTTTTGATTTAATATCAACGTCATTTACATAGAATTATCATTAGAAATATCAAAATTTATTAGTGTTACTACCTTATCATCATCATCATCGTGTTTATTATCACATTGTTATCATCATCAACATCATCATCAACATCAACATCATCATCACCATCAACATCATCATCATCAACATCACCACCAACATCACCATCAACATCATCACCGTATTTACAGTTCTCGAAGGCTTCTGACAAAGATGAGTTAAAGACTATCATTGAGGGCTACCAGGAGATGTTGAGAACGAGGACCAACGCCAAAAACCTGAAGATGTTCGTGGAAATGTTCTTCAAGTGAGTGTGTGTCGTGTTTCGTCGTGTCCTGCCCTCTGTCATGCTGTGTCATGTTGTTTCCTGTTGCGTTTTGTCAAGTTTTTTTGAGTAGTGTTCTGTTCTGCTGTCTTCTATTATGTTCTAGCAAGTTTTGCTCTGGTCTGTTAGGCTTTGGTGTGTCTTTTTTTGGGTTGTTGTTTTGTTGTGTCTGATTCTGCTCTGTTCGATTGTGCTGTTTAATATCGGTTTCTGATACGTTCTATGGCGTAGTATCAAATTTTGTGGTTTGCTATCTTGTATCTTGTTGTGTCTAGCACTGTTTTGACCTGTATGTAAGTGAATCAAATGGTTGAATATTTAAATATTAACGGATGGCTTACTGTTGGATTAAATGATTTATGACTTTGATTGAATCGGTTGAATCATTGAATCGAAAAGTTAATTTTTAGTAAATACAGAACACGTGCAGACGTTTTTACGCACGTACACACAAACATATCCATAATTATTGTCAACAGCCGATCGAGCCTGACTGAGAGTATCAAGAAGATCACGTTAGTATTTATAAATGTCATTATTTATCCATCTTTGTGTTTTTTTATTGTTGATCTTTCTCTTAAGGTTGTTGTTTTGTTCTTTGTTTTTGCAACTGCGCAAGTACGAAGTTGTTTTTGTGGTTTTCTGTTGTTGCTTCGTATTTTGTTCGTATCACGTGATGCGCACAACGAACAAACAAACAGACAAACGAACGAACAAACAAACAAACTGACAAACGTACGAACAAACATACGAACGAACAAACAAACAAATATCAAATGGCATGCAAACATGTCGTATTCCATAATAGCTACGTCGTTTAATAGGGAACCGTGGTAGGATCAACCTCCAATTTCATTCCTCCTCTGCAAGATCATCCACCTCATTTTAATATTCAACAATTCTGAAATAACAAAATTCATCGCTGCCTGTTCATACTCTGTGGATGAATTCATCTTTTGAGATTTCATCACCAAGCAAAACGTCCGCACATTTATTACCTAGGAAGTAATCAACAAAACAGGGAAAACGTTTCAGCAGTTTAAATTAAGTACAAATCTATCGAACGTATTTAAACCAATTTTAAACTCATCTATTTGCTGGGCAACAATACTCTCGACTTGTTCATTTGCCAAATGGTAAATAGTGCTGTCAAAATTATTTTATCCAAGATCAGAGTAATTAAAAACGTTCCAGTTGCTTCGTCAAGATCGTCAAGTATCGTCGGTTATTTTAATTAAGTAAAGTTTCAAAAGCCGTTTAAAACATCAATTTTTCAACAAGACAAAACACTGATGATAACCGAAGACCAGCACTAAAAAACTAACTCCACGATACATTCGATTAATCCGGTTGATCTAGTAAGTAATCCGGAGAAATAATGTGATCTGTAGAGACATTTCCCGTTTTTTGGATCCCGAATTTTTAACTTAAATTCATTTATTCGCCGGATAATGAGCACATTTCTCAAATTTATTCACAGGCCAGATGATATGTAATAAGTATTATTTGTACTATATCTAAGTTGAAGTTATAAATTATAATAATTATAAATTTGACCGCCAGATGTCCAATCCTGCTGGTGACGGGACAGCAGAGCATCTTCAACGGCACGACACGCAGCCTCCACCAGGCCATCATGAAGGAGTGCAAGGACAAGACCAAGGTCGAGTTCATCGAGGTCGCTGGTGTCGCCAATGTCCTCGAAGAGAAGGTGGTTATGGTGGTGACGATGATGATGATTGTGAAGATGATGATGATTGTGGGGATGATGAGGATTTTGAAGATGATGAGGATTGAGGAGAGGACGATGGCTGTGAAGGTGATGATGATGCTTGTTGAGATGGTGATGATGATTGTGAAGAAGATGATTGTGGAAATAATGTTGATTAGGGATTTGATTCTTTTACTCTTTTTTCTATCTCTTTCTCACTTTTCTATCACAGACAATCACAAGTAACATTTTTATTAATCATATTTCATCTGACATCGTCCGTCGTGTTAACATTTGATACTACCATACAGCCAGATAAGCTGATCGAATGTTTCCAATATTTCCTGCAAGGACTTGGCGTCGGTGAGTTGTTGGATGGATGGATTGATGTTTGTTTGTCTGTCTGTCTGTCTGCCGGTTTGTTTGTCTGTTTGTTTGTTTGCTTGATGGGTATGTTGGTGGTAATAGATGTCAGTCAGTGCTTGCGATGTGTTTGTTCTCGATGTTTTCTGAAAACTGAAATTGTTTTTGTTATTGTTATTGATGCCACGCAAAATGTCTCTACCGCAACAAATATATTCAAAATGTTTTGGGGATAACTTGGAATTCTTTGTAAAAAGCAAATTTTTAATTTTTCAGTTTTTAGTATTACAATTTTAGTTTCATGTTTAAAAATTTCCAAGTTGAAACATTCCACTGACTCGTTGCAGTTTCATCAGTTCCGATGCAAAACGTGGCGAAGCCTCCACGCGGTCGTTCGATGAGCATGCAGGAGTACGACCTGCCACTGAGGCAGCGTCTCTTCAGTGCCCAGCTCTCCAGCACACCCCCCATCTTCGATGCACCTAGCTGTGACTCCGCGGAGAACAGCACCGACCCTAACTCACCTGCAAACAGTCCCGTTGGATCGCCTGCCTCCGGCGGCGGTGTGGGCCAGCCACAGCAGCAGCTACTTTCCACGAGTAACTAAATATTATTTCGCTACCTACCTGGACTAGGGGTTTCCGGGGATCGTTGTTTGGTGGGTGGTTAAAGCAGAAGGTGGAAAGAAGCTTTCGTGGGTTGATGTTGGTGTATTGGGTGATTTTCTACGGGAAGTTTGTCGTTTGGTTCATTGAACGGTGACGGAAAGTTTGAAAATTTTTTATTCCATTCTAAATTTAGTCATTTGATCGGCTGCGAAATTATGATTGGCTGGCGAAGCATTGGACAAAATAAAACTTTTACCGATATTATATTACAAATTAGCTTAAGATGACAATGACAATTCATTTTCCTTCTTTTTTTTCTTAAATGTGCGCGCGCAACTTTAAAAGCTGGTGATTATAGATGTGTGCATCTGCATGTGCGGCGTGTGTTTGTTGATACACAATGTTTTATGCTTATTGTTCATACAAGTGTGCACGTTGTATGTGTGTGTGTGTGACTGTGTGTGTGACTGTGTGTGTATCTGTGTATGTGAATATGTGTGAATGTATATTGCTTGCTTCCACATTCAAAAATGTTTCAACACTTGTTTATATATATATATATATATATATATATATATATATAATATTACGTATATATATATATATATATATATATAAACATTTGTATACACAAACTTATGTATATGACGCACCCTGTATATTTAGATGCACATGCACATACATGTAAGCATGTGAATGATGTGAATGATGAGGTGACGGACGAAATGACATTAATGGATGCAAAGTGCATTCATTCACTTCATCATATTCCATCACATCAATTCATTTATTCAATCGATAAATTCTTATGTTTAATTAATTAATTTTCAATATTTCACTGCGTTTTCTATATAGCGTGTTTTTGTTGTTTTCGCAATTGAAGCAGATTTAAATTGAAATATTTAAATAGAATCTTAAATATCCTAAATGGCAACTGCAATCCGATAACAGTTTCTCGAAAGCATTCACGGTGAAATCATTATCATCTCGCATCATCACGTCACAACATTATCACATCAACACATCAAAAGTAGCATGTTTTGGTTAGTTACATTTCAGACGCTGATGAAAAAAATATCTTTCCCTTCTAATAAACTGTCGCCAAGTCATTCGTTGTTTGCTCTTCTTTGTCACATTTCCTTAAACAATAGTATATAAAACACATGTTTGTTGAGTATTCTATACCTGTGCAAATAGATATATACATGTTTATTGTATATGCCTATACATGTATATTGAATTTTAAAAAATAAATTTGAAGAAATGTTTACTAATGTATTACTATAAATGTGTTTCAGTACGTATGTATTATAGTTGAGCGTTAAGTTTGGCTAAGTTTGTTTGATCTACCTACCTTTTTTTGTTTTCTGATTACGGGTAAGGCGATCGGGCTAAATGTTTAAATTCATGATAATAAATGTGGATAAATAGAAAAAAAGAATGTTGAATGAATAAATAAAAATTATAATGCATCAAATAAACAAGTAAATTTTTTTTCTTTGAATTTGTGAGTAATAAACGCTAGTCCAAAAAGTTATCTTTGAATTTAAATTCTGCCTCAATGCTTTTATTAAAAATTTATAATATTCCTAAAAAAATTTACAATTAAATAAATTATTATTTACTAAGTCAAAAATCTTAATAAATAAACATAAAACACACACGAAATAAAATAAGTGGGCAAACTTCGGCCCGCGAAGCTATTTAATGCGGCCCGCAAGGCCATGTTCGCTATGAAAAGGGTCGTCAGCCAGACTAAAAAAGGAAAAATAGGAAGAAGTCACAAATCTTAAAAAAATTCTTTTTTGGGTCGAAAAAATTTGCTATTTAAGTACATATGCGGCCCTTCTAATGTAAAATAGTTCTCAATGCGGCCCTCACAGCAAAAAGTTTGCCCAATCCTACTTTAAACGATCAAAATAAAACAATGTTCCAGACGAGAGAGAGATATTTTATAAAAACTTTATTGATATTATAATACATAGCTAGGCAAGGTGAAAAATTACTGCAAACAGACAAAATTTATGGTTTGCAGGATGATCAGATGCATTAATTGAATAAATTTCTTTTAAACTTCTGGAATGACACAGATGATTGTATAACCGTCTCCATATCTTGTTCTCTTGCACTGGCTACCTATAACATATAGAATAATTTTTAAAATTTGCACGTTCATGTATAAGTCTCAATCTAAATTATTTCCTAAGTATTTATCAGATATATTAATTGAACCTAAACGCCCCGGTTTACGATCGTCTTCTTCTTCTCGCTTTTTCTTAACTCGTGTTAAACACTCTTTTGCCAAATCTGCTTTTGCTTTTTCTGGTCCTTTTCTCTGGAACTTTCTACCTACTTCTCTGACTACTTCTCCATCACTTGCGAAGTTCAGAGCGGATTTCAAGACCCATCTGTTTTCAAAATTCATTGAGGATCGCTGTTGAACATTGCGGAAATAGCGCTTTATAAGCTAATTGATTGATTGATAGATAGAGAGGATAACAAATAACATTTGAATGTGATTCTGAAGTACAACTAATAGTTGTAATATCAACCGGAATTATATTTTTCATTGTATCTTTGTTTGAGTTTCATGATCAATTTTCATGTTTTTGGATTTACACACATTAAAAATACGTTAAAGAAGTATTGATATGTAGATGGAATAATTTAAACGTTTACTGGATATAATCTATGCATGCCCTTCATATGAATATATCTAATTAAATATATAATTGATTGATTGATTGATTGATTGATTGATTGATTGATTGATTGATTGATTGATTGATTGATTGATTGATTGATTGATTGATTGATTGATTGATTGATTGATTGATTGATTGATTGATTGATTGATTGATTGATTGATTGATTGATTGATTGATTGATTGATTGATTGATTGATTGATTGATTGATTGATTGATTGATTGATTGATTGATTGATTGATTGATTGATTGATTGATTGATTGATTGATTGATTGATTGATTGATTGATTGATTGATTGATTGATTGATTGATTGATTGATTGATTGATTGATTGATTGATTGATTGATTGATTGATTGATTGATTGATTGATTGATTGATTGATTGATTGATTGATTGATTGATTGATTGATTGATTGATTGATTGATTGATTGATTGATTGATTGATTGATTGATTGATTGATTGATTGATTGATTGATTGATTGATTATGATTGATTGATTGATTGATTGATT